CATTGATGAACCTATTGATTTCTGTGTTTTTCCAGGGCAAAGGCAAAATGAGAACATATTGGCTTCTTGGGGAGAAGACTGATGTGTATGTTATCTGAGAGGCCTGCTGATAATGTGGCAGCAGCAGTGGAGACGACAGCAGAAGCTCCGGTGGCCGAGCCACTTCTTTATTTGTTCTAGAATAAGTCCCTATTGGTGATTTCCGTGCAGAGGAAAAGAGAACGACACCATACGACACAAAACGGAGGGAATTCCAGGTATATTTATTACCTGCATACTGTAACTGCAAAAAAAAAAAGCAAAGACAAAAAAAAAGACAAAATATTGTAAAAGTTGTTTTTTTCTTTTGTATGAAGAACCTTTCTGTCCTGAGTACTTTTCACTGATGAATTCTTATTTCTTGTGCTTTCTATATTAAGATTTGTATAATGTGTTTGGGAGTCAATGATGTAGTAATGTTTCCTTGAAACAGCCATTGAGGTTTGGAGGCACAGCGTTACAAGTGATGTCACTGCAGGGGTTCATAAACCGTGTTACACAGTACAAGATAATATGTATATATGTATATCCAAGATACTGTAAGATATTTTGTTGAATAAACTGAGTAAAACACTCTTTTCCCATTTATGAACCGGGCAGTAATTTTATGCTCCTGATACCAGGAGTCTGATTAGTTATTGATATTTGCATCCACAGAGGGTGTAACATGAGAAAGGCAGAAAAGAGCCCTAATGAGTCTGTTCTTTTGTATGTATTAATGCTGAATTGGTTCATGTGAGCTCTTTGAGTGTATCTGGGCCATATCCTTCTGACAATACTCACCCAAAGGTTTTCATCCCACTTTAACTCAGAAAGAATTTATAAATGACCTTGTGCTGCCCCCTCCTAACATATTGGATGTCCCGCTGGAATTGCACATTTAAAAGTGCTCACAGAGCTATTGCAGAAGTGTAGAAGCCAGTTCAGCAGAGGGGCAGGCTACCCGGTGCAAGCTTTTCAGAAAGGTCTGTTTCAATGAAACTGCACCTTCGAAGATTTTCTTTTCTATTTTTATCTTCCATTAAACATCAACTCTGCGCTTTTCCCCCCTCGCCTGTCCTGGCAATTAATTCAGGTTTATCTGATCCAAGCCATATTCGCCTTGTCACTTAACCTTTCACAATACTGCCAGGACTATTTCATTATCATTATTTAAAATACAACAAGTGTGAAAGCTTTAAGTATGTGCATGAGGGAGGAGAAAAGCAAGTTGGTAGCAGGCGGCTGTGTGTTTGTTGTAATGACATCACCGCTCATTTCGATGCTCATTATCAGCTGCGGAGGCATGGGCACTGTGTTTGTGGCTGTGTGTGTGTTTGTGCGTTTTCATCTCTGCAGGAGAACATCTTCCCCCTCCTGCAACGGCTGTAATTACCACTTTCTCACAGCGGTGGCACGCCGGCGCCTGTTAGAGCCACAGTGATCAGAGTGAAGGTCTCTGCTGAACACCGCTCTGACCTGCTAACCCCTCACGACTGACCAGGCTGGCATCTTGTTATTTTCTGCCTTTTCATACAGCAGAGAACCTTGAAGTATATGTATACAAAGCCTCCAAGCGCACTGCAAAATAAAATAAAAAGTGTGCATAAGACAAATTATTTTCAAAATCATTTTTAAAAAACTAGTAGATCTGAAATTGTTGGGTGATTTCATGTCTCGGTGTTAACCTGTGTCACAAACTGGCTCAGGGAATGAAACAAAAAGGGGGTCCACACAAGGTTATACTTAAAACCAAACATAATTTATTTAACTAAAGTCTCAAATGAACAATGGTGTGTGTAGATCAGCAGCTGGAAGCAGTACACGGATGTGTGGCATATGTGCTGCGGCAGTGTTGACGGTGCGAAACCAACAGAAGGTGATGCAGGGTGAACGTTCAGGTAAACACATGGAGCAGCTTTTGTAGACTGGAAGGCCCAGGTGAGCTTCACTAAGGTGATGACCCTCCCTTGTCAGCCAGGACAGCCTCCAAGACAGTTGGAAGAGTGTCGCACCTGCATGTGGGTGATGAAAAGTACAGCAGTAAATATGTATTTGGTGATTTGCAGGTTTTAAGACATCCAGTCATATATGCAGATAAAGATACAGGTAAATGCTGTTGGAAAACTAGACGGTTTGTTTGAGCATGTTGGGCACTTTTAGCTTTATTTACTTAACCGTAATCATGAAAGTAATGTGAAAGTGCCTGCCCATACACCAAAATGTTAGTTTGTGTCTGGTTAATTCCCATCAGCTGCAGCTGTACCTCGTGCTTAGTGCTAATTAGCAACTGATAACAGCCCAAACCCGGGGTGGCCAAACTATCCAGCATGCAGGTCAACTGCAGCTCTCTGCCCGTTCTTAAATGTTAAAACCATTTCTGCCTCCTCTGTTTGTTACATCTTAATATCAGACGTACAGATTTACTTCTTACTTTAACATTATATCTATCAAGTAGGCCCTTAGGCAATGAACAGAAACTAATACATTTATTTGGCAATTTCTGCCTTTTTCAGCTTTACTTATTTGCAGATTGACACATAACATTATAATATTTTGAGATGTAAACTCGTTAGTAGTGTTGTGTTGTTATTTTGATAGATAAATAATTTTCCATGGCACGTTGGGGTTTTCTTGCTGTGTAACTGGCTGAAAACGATTCATTAACTATTGATTGGCCCCTGACTCCTTATATATTTCTGTATATGGCCCACAATCAGAAAAGTTTGGCCACCCCTACCTATGATGGTGAACATTATACATGCAGGTACAGGTGCATGTGGTATGTACAGCAAACATAATCACAGCTCACTGTAAAATAATGTGTGGACACCGATAGTTTGTGTGGCTTGACGCAGCACAGTTTGACAGTCTGTTCCAGACACTCTGGCTGTCCACTGAAAGCTCTTCTGCTGTTTCTCAGCAACAGACTCCGGGGTTTGTTTGTGTGTCTCATATCCACGGTAACAAGCACAGAGTGTTATGTGTAGCAGGGCTTACATCGATATGAATAAATGGTATGTGATTCTCAATAAACAAGGGACTCAGCAAGGTTACTGAGCAAATAAATACATTCATTTTACCACCCAAATGATGATGTTGTTCCTTGGTTTGGCAGCAAATGATAGTCACCTTCAGGTCTAACGAGAGCTGCTGCACTTAGGCTACTGGTTGAAAATGTGCTGCTTTGGACAGACATTGCAGATAGTAGGTGAAGCGAAAACAGAGAATCAGGCAGTTATGTGGAGTTTGGCTAAGAATGCAATTTTTTTTTGGATTAGCTGTTATTAGACGTTATAATCAAGCAATGGGCCTATATGATTTTACGAGTTAAACATTAATAGCTGAATGCTGTTTTTTTGTCTCAGTGTAAACAAGGACTGCTTTAAACCATGGAATCATGAACTTGCAATTTAGGAAATTAGGAAAATATGTACGTCTTTGATACAATTATAAAATACAAATGGTAAATGTTACCCTGGCAAAGAGTGTTGAGCATGGAGGTTCATTGTTGACTTCGAGAACAGTATGTATGACAAAATAATCTACTCAAGGTCCACTTACTGGCTTTTTTTTTTTAGCTTTCAGCTGCAATTACACTGTCTTCATCAGCAAATGGAAGAGGCTTAGAAGTCATTAGGAAACTATGTAACGTCACACCACGTGCTCGAACTTGTAACTTAGAATAGCGTTTTGATTTTGTAATGGAGGAACATGAAAGTTAGATAAAAATAAAAAATATCTGATGTGTGTTCCTCTACAAGCCGTGGCTCAGCAGGATGGATGTAACAGTGGACGGTGATTAGATGAATCAATCAGTGGATGGATGTAAAGATATTTTACCAGGTGCTGAAACCAGAGGAGTGTCATCTCTGTTCACTTTAATTGCACCTCGGGGGACAACGCTTTCACCCCCAGCTGTCTCTTGGAGACCGGACGAAGTGCTTCTGTGCTCACTTAAAAAAATGTGAGGAGGATTATTCAGCACTAGACTTTCCAATCTGAAGAAACCTTTTAACTCTTTCATAATAGCGGCTGGTAGTTCACACAGGCCAGTTACTTTTACAAATTCAGAAAAGAGTGTCTTAATCAGACAGGATCATATTGATGAAAAGCCAGTACTGTATGTAATGGCTTTAATAAATTAAATGATTTAACATTAAATCTACTTGTGCTACTGTGTTTCAGTGCATAATCCTTTAAGACATTTAAAGGCAAAGTAATTTTCTTAATAACGCACATTTTAATAACCTTGTGCATTGCACTTAATGCATAGAGCACGCATGCACAGAAAAATAACAAACCATACAATACAAGACAATGCAACAGCAGCATAAGGAAGGAGGAAAAAAACATTCAATACAAAAAGAATACTATAAGAATAGTTTGCAACAATAATGCTTTGACGAGATATCGAGAGATAAGGCATCAATATTAAACTAAGACTGTTTTATAACTAGTTCAAAGTTCCTCACAGTTATTACTTTTATCTGTCACTAACACGTGTAATGCCCAGTAAACCTAACAATAAAAATACACTGTTAGAAACGGTTCTTATTGGCTTCAATAAATGATTGTTTGTAACACATTTAGTGTGACCCTGCTGAGATAACACTGACAACAGTGTCTTTTTGTGTTATGCTGTTGTCCAATAAGGTCTCGTCTCTCTGGTGCTCACACACAAATAGAGAGAGTTTCAGTGTTTGTGTGTGTGTGTGTGTGTGTGTCTGTTGGAGTCAACATTATTCAAGTTCCAATTTGTAGCCAGGTGGAGCTGACGGACCTGTATTGTAGTGCACTGACAGTGATTGCTTGATAAATGGCACCTGTTGGCGAGCCAGCAGGGGCTCTGAGTCTGGTCTTTGTCTCCTCTGCGACAGGCTGGTGTGTCCGGTTGCATTCACACCTGTAGGGACGCAGTGGGAGTGCATCTTGTCGTGTGAATAGGCTGCTGGGGTTGCTGAGTAACGGAATATCCAAGTCTTACTTCTGAACGGGCTCAGAAAGATGAACAAATGTTACGGTTTTGTACAAGTAAAAAAATAAATGATTTATTCGCTAAGCCACACTGGTGACCGTTTGGCCTCTGTGGCGCACCAGGTACCTTTCAGCGCTAGATGAGGATTTTGGAGGATCAGAGGTTCCAGTCTCTGCTCATGTATCTGGATGACACTGTGGTGTTTACCAGTGATCTACCATCGAGCGGACCTTGACAACCTCGATTTGGTAAGGATAGGTCGTCTGGCAAAGAGTAAGGCAAGAGTTTTTCCAAGTTTTCACAATTTGTGGGTTACCATCAGAGACAGAGGTTCATGAGTAGAAAGGATCCGTCACAGTCCTGTTGTAGTTGGAGTGATTTGAGGAAAAAATACACACTCTGGGAGAGACGACTGTTACTGTTAATGCTGATTTTTCACTTACGTTTAACAGGTTATGAAACATTCTCAATGTAATACTGATGCCTTTGTATGACCCTCATAAGTAAACGAGACCATCAGGGAGAAGATTGGCTTAATTATTATTGTAGCTTGTCATCGGTGCCAACAGGTCGGATCCTGGGTGAAATCTGAAATTATCCACTAAACTCCTTCAGCTCAGACTCCAGTAGGGCCTCCTACAGCGACCAGCCCATCGTGGAAACACCCAGATCCGTTCTTCCCTGCAGTCAGAGCTACAGCGGGAGGTGTAAAGCTCCACGCCCAGCAGCGGCATCTCCTCTTCCGGGCCAGGAGCAGAGCTTCATCTGAATATAAAGATACAAACATGAATTCTCGCGATCATCTACAAACCCTTGCAAGAGTTGTACACAAGTTGGATCCTTTCGAGCCATAACCCAATTAGAGCATGTAGAGCAGACCAGCACAGGATTGATCAGTTAGATTTGTGTCCAACTTGATCCAAACCCTCTTACATACAGTCTATCATCCCAACTCGCCATATCAGCATTCACATAAAGGCAACAATAACCTGACGAGATTGAGGCGGACGCAGTTATTAGAGCACATTAACCTACACTGCAAGGCCCAGGGTATGATGGGAAACGCTGATTGGCTCTTAGGTTTGAAAAAACAAACACCATTTGTAGATAGTCCTCCATTTTTATATTACTATTCTTGCATTTTTACACACTTATCATATAGATAAAAAAATGTTATTCAAAAAATTATATTTTTTTGAGTAAACATAATTCACATGTATGTATTTTTCCGTATGGATTGTCATTGTACGATAGTATAATGCTAATATTTTTACATACTTATTTATATTTTCTTATACTTTATCTATGTTATAATTCAATTCCTGAATGGGAGCAACAGTGACGTTTAACCCGATTTACCACTGGGGATCAATAGCTGTCTTTCTGATTCTGATCATTATTCATAGCTTCCTATAGCCAGAGAGAGGGAAGTTCGTCCTGAAGCTTGCAGCTGTGTTTATACCCCACGCCTCAATAAAAGGCCGCTTCATGCATCTGCGATGGAGTTCACTACGTCACCGAGTGGGAGGGTGTCGGTGCCGGAGTTTGCTCCGTTGTCATGTCGACGCTTCCTTCAACAGAACCCTGTTGCCGAGAGACATGCGCAGTCACTTCGCGTTAATTCATAGGATGGGAGCTATAACATAGGCTAGTTAACCAGCGTCAGAAGTTTCAGCTTTTGTTGTTCACGGACCACGTGGCGTATTGTAGTCAAGTTTAGCAGTTATCTCGGTGCTACGATGGCCGAGCAGCCGAACACTGTGGAAGAGAGAGACGGGAGTTGTGTGTTGCCCAACAGGGCAGAAGAGGTGGGTATAGCCGCCGCAGCCAAACGTCGATCCTGACTGCTTGTAACTTCTAAATTACCGTTATATGTTTAGTTTGTATCATGAGCCAGCATGCAGGGCACTGGTAATGGCACCTGGACCTCAGTCATGATAGATATATTTACCTGTGCTTGGCTCTTCGAAAGGTGTATTTCCACAGCCAAAGTTTTGTTTGGTTTTAACCAGGGAATGAAATTAGCACGTATGTTGACAGTGGCAGGTAAAAAAACATGCAGGTCACCTGTCATTATTACAGGTTTTCCTTGTATAAAGAAAAAATATAATTTAAAAATAGTTTGGCATAGCATGAAACACAAATAAGATGTTTTTCTTTCAAATCAAAGCAAGACACGGTATCTTTTGATTGTGGCCCAAACACTGTGCTTTATAAAAGTAATATTTATTGCATTCCTCTAGGTTGTGACATGTTTTCATCTAAACCCTCGTATCTCCATCTATACAGAGGGCCGCTGCTGCTCTCGCCGCTCAGAAGACGAGGTCACAAATTCAGAAACACGGGCGCAGAGGGATCCTCATGATGGACCAGGAGTCTAAGATGGAGACTGTCACCACGATGAAAGCGGCTTTTGTCCCTCCTAAAAGTCTAGGAGTGAGACTGCGGGGTATGTGTCTTCCACCATTCACAGGATGAAACTACCAATACTCTATAACAATGTACAGACTCGACTTGTATTGCAGAAGAGTAGAACATATTTTATTACGGTGGAGGTGTTTTATAGAATACCAGATTACAGCCTTCGCATAGACACTTTTATTTCACTGTTCAATAAATCTTTTTCCGATGATTTGCTGCGCATGCTCAGTTCATCTCTTCTTCTACATTCCCATGGTTCAGGCGCGAGAGGCGAGCTTTTGGAAAAACACATCACTGAGATGATAAGGTAAATCAAGTATGAAACAAGCCTTTTGATGCTAAATGAATCATTGCTGCAAGTGGTGTTGTATGTGGAAACGGAGTCTGGAGGGGAACTCCTCGGAGGAAAGTGATGTAATATTTATACGTCTGGGCCTGTTTTACTGTTCCATCACTGCTGTAATACCTTTTAAATCAGGTTTTATGATGTTATTTTACATGGAGCCAGTCGTCCTGATGCCGTTTATTGAGTCTCTACCCCACAGATGAGGTTATGAACACGCCGCACATGTTAACTGCTCATAAAGAACACAAAGCATCATGTCTTTGATGAAAACGGCTTGTCCAGCAGTAGACAGTGTCTCATCACTCAGTCTTGAGCCACGCACTAAATGTCCTGGACTTTACAAGTACACACCCAACACTGCTTGATTCATACGGGGCTCTCAATCGCTAAAACGCTCAGAGCAATTTCCTCGGCTAATCGGTTGTTATTCTAAATATATTGCCCTTTTGAATACATGAATCAACAGTTATCCAGATCAGAGGGTTGGAGAGTGAAAAGCTTTTGTTTTTTTATGGCTTGCTGTAAATATCACACCAGTCTCTTTTTGACACAACATGAAAAAGTTCTAGTCCAATCTACATGATGACCATTGATCCACTGAGTGACATTAAATGACATGTTCAAGGATAATACGTGTCTTACATCACCGCTCTTAAGGGCCCAACATACCATTGTTTCACCCACACAGTTGTTTGCTCTGATTAGAGCTCTGCTGGTGGTCTTCTCACAGCTGTTGGGGCTAGACAACTTACACTTTTATCAGTTCTGTGGCTGATGTGCAATTGTTATCTTGTTCCCTGTGTCTTATGCTGCATTCAGGCAACGGCGGCAGAATGGGACGTTATTCTGACTTGGTGTTTTCAGGCTTTAATCCTGTGCTGGGAAGTCACTACATATAAAAAAACAAAAACTAAATTAGCTATTTTTACTGCAAGTGCAGCCGATTGAAAAAATTAAACTTGTACTTCTTCCAACACTGCCAAATACTGAGGCTGATATCCTCTTGTTTTCACAGAGAGAAGGTTCACGCTGAACTGAACCCAACTGACCCGAGTCTCGAAACAGACTACTGCTCCACAACCCAGAAAGACTTCTGTGTCGAGGGATTTGTGCCTCATATCCCCGAAACAACACAAGTACGTGTATGCATGCATACTCTCCTGTTGAATCTAAAACAACATGTTGTTTATTGCTATAAGTGCCTAAACCACAACATCAGTACTGGGACTGGTGTTAAAACTACGCCCAATATGTTGCACCAGTTTGACGTTTGGATGACTTATTTGTTTGTTAGGTTTGTACAAGCATGTGTTTTCATCTACTTTACATATAACTAGATGTGCCTGTTTCAAATTACCAGCCAATTGAACAAAGAGAGCGGCTGATTACGACTGATAATTATGTTTTTTCCTCCTTCCAATAGCCATAATTGTAAACAAACACCATTAATCATATTATAACATTGCTGTTGGATTCCAGACTCAGTTGTAGGATACTGGCAAAAACCCGGTTGCTGACTGCGTTTACCTTCTAAAATAATTAGAGCTTTATGTGAGTTTACAGTCTTCACTAAGCTTAACTCTGGTGACCCTGGATAACCTGGAGCTAGTTATCACCTGGTTCAGTTAACTCCTGGTTTTCCAACGCAGCTATAAGCACATTCATGTGAAAGAGTTCCTCATTACAAAGTCAATCACAGTCATTATCATCAAAACCACGAGTGTCATATTATGACACTTATCCTAGCGTGTTAGCTGCTCAACATAGGTTAAATGTGAAAAAACAAAGATTGATACCTGAATCCAGTGATCTTCATGAGAGGAGAGGTGTATTTAGACTGAAAACAGCCATTTTCTACCTTGTTGTCTTTGCATAAATTTGGCTGTTGGTTTGTTTTTGCAGCTTGTGTATATTCGCCCCAAACAGCCATTTAGATTTGCAGATACTGCTGTATTTTGTACACATGTAGCTGTAGTTTTTTTTTTTTATTGTCTGTGTGTCCGTGTTATTTTCCTCCAGGTTCTGTTCTTTTTCCTCTCAACTCTTCCTCTCATCCTTTGTGATCAAAATGTTGTATTAACAAAAGGAAACTGATAACAAAGGAACAGAAGGACAATAGACACAAACCCCTAACAGCAGGAGAGAACAGAAAAAATAATTATTGTCCTTGACAGCAGTGCATGCTTTTAGTTCTTCAGAGATATAAAACACGTCATGTCCCTGATGAAGGAACGCCACACCGTAACCATAAAGGGTTGAGTGTTGTATGAAGACTGCTGTCTTTGCAGCCGTAAAACAAAAAAAAACAATTTTCTGTCGTAAAATCCTGACATGAACATGAGCATCTCATTAAGGAGACACAAATACAAATTATGATTCTACATCATTTTCATGAGATCAGCTCACACTCTATATCATGATGACTCCAAAAGTCGTTGACCTCTGGATATTCTTAAACATTTTAGGAAATATTTCTTCAGAATAAGAGTTACACAAACCAATGTATCCGGATGGTAGAACACTAATCAATTACACGGTTGATTGTCTATTAATTGTTTAAAGCCATTTACCAATCCAAAATACCAAACATGATCCGGTTCCAGCTTCACTTTCTTCTGTCTGGAAGCCGCAGTTTGAAGACCTCACTTGTAGTTCTGATAACTTCTAATATGGCAGATTGCATTTATTTGACAGTGTGCTGTTGTCTCATATCCAGGTTCATGACTATAAAACTGATCAGGCTGTCTCATTTTGGAGTGAAAATTGCCATCGGATACAGGTGGGTCGGATCGTTTCACTTTTTGGACATTGGGGGTCATGTATTGCAGTTTGTTTGCTGTTATTAATTCTTTCTAAATAACATACAGTCACCTATGGCACCATATCATGTCAGTAGACAATGCAACAGAAGAGTTTCACACATCCACCAAGGTTTAGGGGAGGATGTGTTCAGACTGATTGTATTCCCTCTCTCGCTCTGTGTCCTCCTTTCTTATCTTGTGTCAGATTCCTCAGTCTTGTCACTCAGCATGTGAGGTAAGAGTTTTAAAACTGTTCTTGTGTGGTTTTGTGTTACAGGGTGCGACTGCCGTGCAGAACCTGAAAGCACCTTTCAGGAAGTCGACCCTGTTCAGCACACCGATCGGCGAGCGGCTGGACGAAATCGAGCTCCCACCTGATAACTGAGACAATATGTGAGAGTATCATCACATCACTTCATTACCAGTTGATATTAAAGTGGGAATCCACTTCAAAGGTGATTATTATTCTGAAGTGCGGGGACACCTCTGCTGGTAATTAGCTGTCATCGTCACATCTGAAAACCATGAAGTCAATGGAAGGGCAGCCTTTCAGCCCTAAATATCTACATATCTACATGAAGGTGTTTATTAAAAATGGGAAGACTATTTAGTTTAAGTAATTCTGCCAGAAAATAAATTAAATCCACAGCATACACACAGCTGATGTCATGTTGACTGACAGGTTTCTGTTGTGCGGATTTGCTGAGAAACATTTGCCTCCGTGTCTGGCTTCTTAAAAATAGATAATTTACTGTGCGTGGCAGCTCTGTTTGTAGCTCAGGTCAGTACTGACCCAAAGCGTGGACCGTCCCTCAGGGCAGACCGCAGCAAGTACAACACGACTGAAAGAATGAAGAGACGTAGCTGCATTGCTGCTCATTCCATTTTCACATCTTGTTGTCATCAGTTATAAAAAAAGAAAGAAAGAAAAGAAGCCAGGTACTAACTAACAGCGTTGCAAGAATACACAAAACTCTTGAGAGACAGTCAAAATAACACTGCTATTTTATAATCCGTTAAACGTTCAATCTAAAGTGAAAGAAACAAGGAAACGACTCGTAGTTATTTTGAATGTTTTAAACAAAATTTCTGGCCATATCTTACACACTGCACCTTTAACATTAACATAAACATTAAACACGATGGAGCCCATCTTCAGCCTTGCACAGAATAAAGCAGGTTTAGCAAATGGAAGATGGATTGTGCTAAACACATTCATCTTTTCCTATCAAAAAGGGTCATTTGCCGGTCAAAAGATATTTTTTAGTTACGTTTATAACCTTCCTACCTTTACACACCATTTGAGTGACTGTATTTAAATATGAAGCAGGTCCTAACAAGTCTCCGTTTGTGCCTCTCATGCAGTACCAGACCATCCTGAACACAGAGCTAAGCATTCGATGTTTCGGAAAAAGAAATACCCGGTGATCTTTGAAACATTCAGAAGGCTTAACAACACTTACCACTGTTCTGAGAGTATTTCCAGAATCCTTGAGACCTCTCTAACTATAAATAAATGACATGCGGTGTGTTCCTGATCAGTTTGTACAATGCCAGCCCAAATAAAAAAGGTTATATTATACACTATATTTGTCAATAATAATGTTACTTTTTATTGTCTTATATTTTCATGCACAATAACACGTTTATATTTTTCTTGTGTTGTGCAAATTGTGCAAGGAAATGTTTCACTTCTGTCTACTGTCTTCGTTTGGATTAGGAAATAGAGTTGCAACTTGGTTAACGATATTTTTCTTGAGTCACTGAGGATCCTGAAAATACTGGAAGCTGATTAAGGAAGTCGGTTTTCAGGCCCTTGCAGCTTCAACATATATTGTATGATAAGTCCCTCTCTATTTCTAGACCACAAAAAGCTTAAGATTTATTCCCAGAGCAAAAGTGCATAAGTAAAACGTCTCGGAGTATCTTGGAGCCACATTCCCCAGTATTATCTTTGTGTCTGATGTGTAGTCTGATGTGTAGTCTGATGACAGCTGGATGGGGATCAGATTTTCCAAATTTTCCCGTACATTTAGTTAATTATTCCGTTCCTCCTTCGAAAAACATGATGCTGATTGAAAATCTTTCACTCCCTCTGTCTCCAACAAGCAGAGCACCGATGCTGCTATTTCTGTCCCACATTGTGATTACATGTTAGTAACCATCTCCATGGCTACCAGAATCTCTGCAGATGTATTGACGAGATGTGAATGTGTTGGACTCTCTCTCTTTCTTCTCAGTTGGAAACCCTGCATTTGTGTCTCACGGCTCACACGGACGCCCACTTTGTAAATGTCACTTTCTGAGGTTAATTTAATGCTCAGTGGCCAAATCACCCTGAGAGGTATAGCACCAGACCCAAGATCAGCTTCCACTGCTTTACTTTCATCTTCCCCTGCAGTCGCATCCTGACCCCCAAAACAACTCTTGACACCCGCTGCGATCATATGCATGAGCCTCAAATAGCTAAAAGCAGTGTTCGGCTTTCATCTTTCAGGCCCGTCAAGGTGTGTCTGAGGTTGTGTTGTATGCCATCATCATTATTATTATCTTTGCGACACAAATAAGACATGGGGAATGTGTGACAGCCCTCTGACTGATCCAAGGAAAGTAACCAGGAGCAAACAGCGGCGCTGTAATAATTACCCTTCGTGCAGTAGGAAAGAAACTGCAAAAATCCTTTACGTACAGCTCCTCTAAACTATTGTTTTTTATTTGAACAATAGATTAAATGACTTTGAATGAAGTGAAATGGAAGGCCTTGCCATTGTGTTTCTCTTCACTAACAATAAAGAGTGAGGGACTGTCACCAACAACTTTACATTCATCGAGATGGAGTCTACGCTTGAAGGAGTATGTCAATCTGTGCAGCTGCATCAATCTCATCCAGGATTGTTTTCCATAGTAAAGAGTTAGATTTACTTTGTTTACATGTATTCAAGTAAACTTTTTGTGTACATTTTGAGTAGTTTTGATGCAGCATACTTTCTACTCTTACTTGAGCAGACTTTTAGAGAAAAATTGGGATACTGCTATTCAAAGGTCAGAGTCACTGTGACCTCCCGACCGCCCCATTCTCGTAAACGTGATCTCAAGTAAAGTATTTAAAAACAATGCCAATGAGTTCATAGTCAGAGTGATTTTCCACCTCTGCCTCGGTGTAAAAGCAGACCTCTCTGGTTGCTTGTTTGAGAACATACAGTGAATTTCCACCAGAACTTCCTGCCCGTGTGAAGGGAAGACCTCTGTGCATGTTGCGGTACAGAAATCCTTAACCTGTCTGTGAGCAAACGAAAACTGAGATTTCAATCGGTCAGACCTCAGAACCAGCTGGCTGGACGCAGCGTGTTGGAATTTGAATAACATAATTCAATTTGTGCCTGTTAATACATGCACTGCTGTTAGATCTGTGTGCTGTATTTACCTAGCTGGAATAACACTTAAGCTTGCGTCGTGTGGCCCGCCGCTCGGTATCGCAATAAAGAGAAGCGGCGCTGTGCTGGTGTTATGTACGTCTGCCCTCCGCACACGGGTGGGTCTTTTTACACGGCCCCACAAACACCTGAGCCGAGGCCTCGTATTTTGGTTGCTTCTCAGCACATCTCTGCCTCTTGCTTTTTAGGAATCCCCTTTTTTCTTCTTTTTGACGAAGAGTAGCGCTGTCTATGGCACACAAACACCTTCAGTGGGCGACTGCTGCCTTTACACCCGAGGGCCAACAAGGAAAAATGTTCCCTGCTTCTGCTCTTCTCGTTTTTCAGGAATATAAGGGAAATTATTTGGCTATTTTATTAGAATGCGTTGTTTTTAATGTTGGACAGAAATGCAAAAAAAATGTATGTATATGTATCCATAACACAGTCTCTCTGCCTCAATTCCAACCTCAACCGCACTGCCTCTAAATTTGTGTTGTATTGAGTCGGAACCCACCATTAGGAGGGAGGTGTACAAAGCGTGTAACATCAACACCATGGACCAGGATTCACGTTTGGACTTCTAACTGCAGCCATCGTTGATCCCCAAAGATGCCTTTACCCATCTGCATTTTCCAGCCTTAGGCCTTTATTCTGTGTGCTTTTGCTTCGGTACCAATCAGTAACCTTGGTCATTATGTTGATTTTCTCTGTGCCTGGCCACCCTACTGTACTGACGTGGATAGTTGCGTAAACTGAACCATAACGGCAACATAATTTATTTGCTTTCTCTAATCCACAATCTATCCCTGACCTCAATATACTCGTTTTAGTTCAAAACTTCAAATACATACTGTTTCTACAATGTAAATGGGGAAAACAACTATATGTAGTTTATATAAAAGCGAATAAATAAGAAACTATTCTGTTTACGTTAGCTGAGAGATGATATTTTTCATTAGTCCTGTTACTGGCAGGTTGGAAGTGTTGGCAAAAAATATTATCTTTAGGGATAAAACTATTTCTTCATTCCTAAAACACCTCTATTTTAGATCCATATGGTTTTCATCCAAAAACAGCAACAAGCTCTTTTGCGCCATTAACACTGCATAGCTCCACCTGTCCCATCAATGACAGGCTACATATGACTAGCTGACATCTAGGAATGAAAGATAAGATTCAAACAAAACCCTCCGTCTCCTGAAAACCACACGAGGCCTTTCAGGCAGTAATAAAAACAGGCTGTAGATAATTCTCTAATGCCAGACTTTTTAGAAACCACAGATATGGCTTTCAACAAGAAATGGTCGACAGCGCTTCCCATCTGAACTGCCCAGCTGCACAATATGAAGACTGAAATAACCTTAACAAGTTAATGACATCGAATTATGTCTCTCCATCAACGTTTTATAATATGCTGCAAATCATGTCAGTAAAATCTTAAATCTTTTTTCTGTCAAATTACTGTGTTAAAATTGTTAAGTGTAATAAGTTTTTAGTGCTCACAAGCTTGTTATTCGCAGCCTCCGCTTCCAAGGTGGAGAACACCACTGCTTTTCAAAAAAGTTCTCCAGAACAGCCAATGACGATAAATAATCCGAACCACAAATAAAAATCTGACTCAAAGGCCACCTGCATAAATTACATTAACTCATTTCCCATGGATCTTATGCAAGCCCAGGTGTGCAAAGCTCCTGCAGTACCCATCTGGCAACGGTAATTAGGTAGGATTGTAATTATGTTGCGGTCCAGCAAGAGATCAAATCAACTTCCACCTCAGGGCCTTGGGAGCAGATCAACTCTATATTCTCCCAAGAAACATTTCCTAACTTCACTTTCACTTTGACACGTCGACAAGGAGCTGCTGCCACGAACAGGCAAACACCTCAGGAAACATCAGTTTGCTTTTTTTTTTTTTTGCACTAATCCAAAATGAAATCCCATATTGAACAATGCCCTGAGAGGAGGGCTCTTATCACTGAGTATCTGACAGGACGAAGAGCTTCACGGGTTAGTAATCCCTCCTCGTTGTTTTAAAGGGCAGTAATTTTGGATTAATGTTTTTCTTGGTGTCACCTGCTCAAAGAATTCCCACTGTTTCATCGTCTGGAGTCTGTTATCAGCCACCACGTTGGAGATGATTTTAATTAACTTTCCGCCAAAACAACACTCTTGAGCACTGCAAGACTTCTACCCAACTGCCTTGCTTTCAACTAATTTCCTGAGCACAACAGGAGAAGCAATGATGAGAAACGATTCAACGTGGCCAATCCAGCTTGTCCGAAATGATATAAAAGAGGACGATACGATGTCTGGGTCAGTACAACGAAGCAAAGAGCACTGGAAAGGAACCCATCCTCGAAGCCAACGCTTTGCACCTCCTGGAAGACCTTCACCATGAGACAGTCACTCATGTCCGTCATCTTCGCCGCAGCACTGTTATTCGAGTGCTATGCTCTGTCAGTGGCGTTGCCTATGGGCAAGACTGACGACGGCTCCTTGGAGCAGGATACTTTGGCCTCGCTGCTGAGCAACGAGGCATCAGAAAACGGCCTGGGCGACGCAGACCTGGCCACGGCGGGCAAAACCAGAGGGCCGAGGGTAATCGTCATCGCCGATCCAAGCCTGTGGAGGGACGTGCGGGTGCTGCACAGCGGACTGTCCGTCTACAAGCGGAGAGCTGACGACAACGGCCAGATCATCGAGCACAGAGACGCCGGCCAGGACCTGAGCATCCCCATTCTGAGGAGGGACACGATGAGGTGCATGGTGGGACGGGTGTATCGGCCATGCTGGGAAGTCTAGGACAGTTTGCTCTGCTCGTCCAGGCGCCAAAACACCGGACGACCACCACATCCTTTCCTGCCTCACACTGAGTTGCAACATAATCCAAAAATCTATGTATCTATATTTAAATTATTGCAAATCTGATAATAAAAACTACTGAATTCTGCCTTATGTCTTGTGCATGTTTGGTATCTGTCTCACTACTTAACTCAACTGGGATTATGAGGGTTACAGTTCGACTTTCAGATCTGTTCATAAATGATGGCATAAAATAACTAGTTTGATAGTTATAGCACGCAACAGAATTGCCATTGTTACTTTTCAGTTTGTGTACGGATTAGATAAGATACAATATGTTAGTGAGCTTTAGAGGTACTGGTAGGTTAACTGTTGGGCTTTGGAAAGACTTAGGCTAGCTGTTTCCCTCTGCCTCCAGTCTTAATGCTAAGCTAGGCTAATCACCTCCAGGCTTCAGCTCAATACTTAACACAGACATGAAAGTGGTATCGATCTTCTCATCTAACACTGACAAGAAAGCCAAAATGTTGAACTACTTCTTTAAAACTCAAAACTAGACACCGGAGAATGGAAGTAAGAGGGCACATTCCACAATAAACATTCTTAATGTGTTCCTGCAGTAGCACCTCAAACAGCTGAAATAGTTGCAGTAACAGGCTTCTTTTGGACCGCATTGTAGGTCTGGTTTACCAAAAAACATCTGCAATGGGAGGAGTCACCTTGATAACACCTATGACTCACCCAATTTCAGCAGTTCCCATAAAATTACAGACTTTTTTACACACACAAGTTTGTTACATCAGATCCTGCATACTGGTAAATGACTATTTTCTTACATATGCTGGTGACTTCTCGCCTGCAGAACAGAGGCGGACTCTCGGGAGAGTATTTCCAACCATACAAGAGCTCATCAGAGCATCAGGCTGAATGATTTCCTAAGCTTTGCAGATGTGTCCGGCCCTCATCAAGCAGAGGCAGGGTTTGATAGAAAATGACCTTTCAATCAATCAGGAAGCTTCCTGATGTCCGATAAACATCTATTATAGATGATTTGGCTCATTACAACTTCCGTGGCTTCTGCCTTGACAAATATAGCTGATAATGAAGATCCACAGATTCAAACACAGACCTCTTTCTGCACAGTTTATTGAGCAATGAGGGTTTGATAACCTGTTGTATTATTACCTCTATCAATGAAGTTGTTTTCCGACCTGTTGATGTATTAGCAGGACAAAAAAATTTGGTGAAAAGATGATTGCACACTATCTCGTTTCCATCCTTTGTGACACCAGAGAAGAGAGTTATATGGTGCAGTAAGACGCTGTTGGTGCAGAAGGATGTGTAGGAGTTGATAATGTAAATTAATTCAAAGTGTTTTATGCTCGTGCATGTATGTGAGGTTCAGTTGGGACTTGTGAATACTTGCGGTGGCTCAGTCAACAACTGCAGAACATTCCTCACAGAATACAGAGTGAGAGCAGAAAAGAGGATGTTTTTTCTGGGAATGTCGGCACCTTTTAGGTATTTGGGAGTAAGGGTGCAGTTGGAAAAAAATTTGGCTGAAGACAAAGGCAGATATACAGCATGTAAAAAATGTAATTTCTACTCATGATGGTTTTGCCTAAGACAGAAGAACAGGATGTCTGTTCGCCGTGTGCTAGTGATGCTAGTGGTGCATCTCTAGAGATGGCAAAGGTGGTTAGTTGGTCTGTCAGTTCAACACGTCTCTCCAGATGGAAATATCTCCACAGCTATTCCTGTCTTCAAATTTTGCACAGACTTCATGGTCCCCAGATGATGAAACCTACTGACTTTGGTAAACCCTGACTAGTCCTCTAGTGCCACCATCAGGTTGACATTTTTGATTTTGAGTAAAATACCTGTACAAAATGTCATCAAATACAGTAGTTGTCCAGACCTTCTTGGTCCCCATAGGACGAATTGTAATAGTTTTCTTTTAACACCATTAGCAGGTCCACTAAAGCCTCACAGAGCTGCTAGTTTGGCTGAAGACTCTTTGCATTGTTTTATTGTGGACGAATGTTTTTACTAGGCTTTACAAACACTGATGAATCTGAAAGGGCAATTAATGAGTCATATTGCCGGGAAGATAAACTAATGTAGCGTAAACTGCAGTATTTCCAACAGATAGAAATTCCTACCGCAGTGTGTATTTTCCTGTTTGACATCCGTGCTCTACAACTTTTTGTCATATTGCGTCAAGTCCTTGGCATTAAATACAAAAGACTTTCCCTTTAAAATTATGACAAATTACAAGGAGAGCCTTTTGGCATTTACTGTACTTACCTCATAATAATAAGCAATCCAGATAAAGGTTTTATGGGAAGGTGTTTCGCTTTACCGATAACTATGGAGAGCAACATCTGGAAACAGTTAAATGAGAGGCTGTGCAACTGTTTTGTTAATCAGTTGGTAAGGATATGAGGGTTTTAATTTAACTTACCATGAGTTATCAATCTGACAAATCTGGAATACCTTTTATAGCTTAAATAGCTTTTTTGATATTATAGTATAGTATATTTCACTGTTTACAAATAACCACATTTTAATCATTGAGCGACAAATAAAACAACGATGAGCATGATACTTGTATGCTATTCTACAATAAAGTGTGGTGTAATAATGGCTGTAGAAAAATGCAATAATTGCTGTGAATTGGGTCTATAATTTCAATGGTCTTTCTGTTTATTTCTCCTTCTCAATTAGTAGAGATTTTATATTTCTTTTTTCCAGAACTAAATATAATACTGCTGCTACGATAATACCAAAACTGCATAACTCTTTGACTTTACCGGCCCTGTTTACTTGTCACTAAATGGCATCAAATACATGTGTGATATATTGTTTATAGCAATTGCAAAGCAGAGCAGAGATTTGTCCCTTCCTAAACGAACAGCATCAACGGCAATAATCTGTGTCACAAAAAATACTGTCAAGATAAACAGAAAAGATTAACTTGACTGTGTTCCTTATGTATTGCTTGAAAGGTGACCTTTTCTTCAGTGTCTTTGTTGTCTTTTTAATTTTTGAGTTAAGGTCTCCATACCAACAACTACAGGTAAAATATGAATGTAAACTTTACATTAAACCCCTAATTATTACATAACCACAGCAAAAGCCTTTATCAAGGTATTTCATTATTGTACTTTCCCATTTTTTTGTCTTGCACTTAATAATACTAAATGCTTGGCTCAAAATTGCTCCAGTTAATTGAGGGATTAAAATGCACGTTGTATCTTCTGCAGGGGAGGCATTGTAAGGCTCGCTTTCCTTGCCTGTCGTTTCTTCTGGAAGAATAGCACTATTAATAGCTGAGGACCAGCAGGAGAAACGTTTGCTATCCACTGAAACTGTCTTCAGCTTAAAAGGGTGGAAAGCACGGCTTGTCTGTCTGCTTCATGCTACACACACTACCACGTCCCCTTTCCCTCGGAATAATTCCACTTAAGACGATAAGGCTCTTAAGAAGCCTTTGGACAGTTGAACTCAGGGAATGGAAGTTTAATGAGCTTCTTGAATGGCGATTTGCAAGAAAGAATTAAAATTACAGCTTTTCTGTAAAACAAATGCACAAAAAAAATTGGAATCGGTGATCGCAGAGGCATACTGTGAATGTAGAGTCCAATTTCATATGTGGTCTAACACAACGTACAGGCAGGATGAACAACATCCTATAGATGTGCCTGTGATTAATGCATCAGAGTTAAAGTCAAAGACCCAAATCAACAGGAGCAAGATTTCACGTGTTATGAAATGTGAGAAAGTCATGATTAATTGCAAGCATGGTTACAGCAAGGTAACCTATACTTTGGATTACAAAAGACAAATTAGCACATAATCAACAGGAGCCTACTGTGGCACCAAAAGCCACTTAACCAAAGTGTTGGCTTGACGAAACCCAGAACACCGTCCATGGCTTTCCATAACAAGACGCTGAGTAAATGGATGTTGTTGACTGTCTTTCTGGCTGCTTTACTGTGACGTTCATCCATCATTGTGTAACGTACTTGGCAATAAACGGTTCTAATTCTGATTCTGAAATACTGTTCTGGACCTTCTTGTATGAAGTCTATGGTCCAGACACCAGCAGAAGCAACCGTGTCTAAAGGTCCAGGGTTGAGTTTGAATAAATAAATAAGAAAAATGGAACATGAGGCATATAAAAAAAGAAAAAGAAAGATAAATTATGGCACATCTTTTGAATCTTGCTCAGCTCCTGATGTGGCTCTCTGATGCAGAATTCGTGTTATTTTACCATTACAGAGGAGAGCAGGGAAGGTTTCAACATGCTAATGTTTTGGACAGAGAGGCTACTCAAGCTGTGGCAGTGTATGCCTGCAATTGTCTGAAATGGTTGAAACAGCTGACGCAGTGAAAGGAGGTGAACACATGAAGGCTAATTATAGCAGGAAAGAAGTCATCTGTGTATGGTTCCTGCACATTTTTGTTTGTTCAACAGGGCTCGTTTTGCACAGTTGATAACAAATGGCTTTCACTCTCAATGGGGTGCCTTGGAGAGAAAAAGAACATCTGGAACCCATTATTTGGCCAAGTGATTATTCTGTCTGGGCTGTTAAGATAAAAATCAGTGCATTGTTTTACCAAATTGCAACTGCACTATATTTTTTATTTATGTCCCTGAGACATTAAGTCCAGCTTACTTATTTCTTACTTCAGTTGAGTTCGTAATCTTGATCACATATATGAAGATGCATCGTGTGATTTATGACAACAAGGATGCAGAAGTTTTAGATCATGTAAAATTGTATCAGTACTTACTTGACGGGACATTAAACCAACATTTTGGTTACATCTCCTTGTCCAGCAAGAGGTCACCACGGAAATAATATTGGGTCTTTAGAATTCACAGACATAGAATTAAACATTTACCTTATCAAATTGTTATAGCAAACTATTCCATTATTACACATCTTTAGACACAGAGTAACACGAGAATCCCGTCTAAGAACAGGCGCTGGCTTTGGTGGCTGCACCAGCATCTGTCCAACAAGCATTTCCACACCACTGATTCTGTCTATCAGCTCCTCCTTTCCAACAGTAAACACTTCCTGTATGTATTTCACATTAAAAGCAAACCAGTTAGGGGTTATTTTAAAAGGTAGATGCTCTTG